TAATCACTAACAGAACAGAGGCAAGATAGAGATGATGAATGAGTCCTTCGCTTTCCCATTTCTCCATTCTAGCCCTAATAGAAATGGAGCGGGAACGAGAGTGTGTGAAGGGATGACCGCTCGCTCTTCCATCTTCGCCCTCCGTCCCTTCGCTCGCGTCCGTCGGAGACCTCAAGACCTGACAAAGGAAGGGAGCGAGGAGAAGGAATGGATCTGTTCCGAGTCCGCTCGCGCAAGAGATAAAGAAAGGGAACAGATATAAAAAAAATCAAATGATGAAATAATATTAATCCTTGTATATCTTTATCTTGGAAATAGAGGTTGGGCCCCTTGGCAGTCATTTCAAATAGGAATCCTTGACAGGCTCAAAGATGATGGGTGACAGGAAGGGAGAGCGGCAGAGTGGGCTATAGGTGTGTGAATTAATCTGGTACCCGTTCCCTCCCTTTCATCACCCATTCCTTCCTCATCCTGGCTCACTTGTCCATTTGGGGGCGATGGATGAGAAGGGAAAGAGATGATGGGATGGATCCGCTGGACGTCGCATCCTTTGCGTTGGATCCTGACGATGACTTTGGTGGGCGTGCCGATACCAGGTGGACTGAACACGGGCCAAGTTCTGCTGAGTCCAAATGGGCCTAGAATTCCCTGGATCGGCTGAGCACAAACCAATGGGAGAAATGAACACCTCCATTTGACTTGACTAGCGATTGACGGTAGAGCTTGCTCTCCGAACGACTAGGCCGTACACCTCAACTTGCTGTTCACACTGACCTGGAAAGCCTCTGCCAATCTCTCGTGTAGATGTTGAAGACAAGGACCGCACTTGAGAAGCGCACATACCCAAACACCCACACACACACACAAATACCAGGTCATATGTTGTGCTGACACAACAAGCACCAAAGGTGCAAACAAAAACAAGAACAGCTGCCACAAACCTCACTACGCCAGGTGGACCGCAGACCCCATGCAATCCGCCGGATTTTTCTGGAGCGTTGGCCAAGAGAGCGGCTTCGATCTCCTCCGGGTTGCCCAGCAGATGCACCTGCGTGTGCTGCGAGCTCAGCTCCACGCCATCCAAAGTTCTTACCTGATGCATTGAACGGAAGGCGGTCGAATTCATGGTCTTCCTCTTTGGCAGAAAACACGGAAAGAAAACAGACGAACCCAGAACAACAACGTGCCACTCCAAGCCATGCATGAAGGGGTTCGCGAGCAATCTGTATCATGGATGTTCTACAGCGTATTGATGGACCAAACAAGGGCGGACAACCACGTTCGCGAAGTGACCCGGTCGAATACCTGGAAAAGGCTCCTGACGCTTGCATCCAATAGATGATTGATAAACACCAAGCCGGCGATGAATCTGGGGCAAAGCTCAAGATGCGACTCCGCCGAGATTGAGCATTGACAAGAACAGGCCCTTTGTTCCAGCAAGAAATCAACCAATGCCAAGGGATGATGAAACCTGAATGGGGCCGCCCCCACTGAGGGAACCAACAGGCTACGCCTCGGGCCCAAACTGGGAACCCTGGTTTCATCTGGCTGAAGTTGCCATGAATCAGGTGACTGAATCCTGGGTTCCTTTGAAAGGCTGCTGGCGGTTGGAATGTTGGCACCAACGCCATCCCAGTGGCTGTTACTTTGACTTCCTTGGAGGGGGAGCCATCTGCCAGCTGCACAGCTTGGATGGTGACCTCCACCTGGGCCGACATCGCCGGTTTCGCTCTGACTCCTTAACGATCGTAGCGATTTGCGCTGTGCAACTGTGAACCTTTACAAGACCAAGACGCCGCAAATGGTCTGGGATCTGTTGTGACTTCGAGGCCACACTGGCTATTCATTGTTAGGTCTCTAGCTCAAGCTGTTTTGCTGATGATTCCCTGCCAGCGGGAAGCGGCCATTCATTGCAAGCCCAACCGGGTCATGCGCGGCCGTCAATGAAAGAGCAGTGAGAATCCGGGATGAACCACTCTCAATTTGCGAAGGCACGTTCCCTTGAGCACTGCTTTTGCAGTGCTCTTCAGAAAGCCATCCTGGTCAAATCCCATTTTGCATTGTATCACATCAACTTCATCTCAGTTGTATTTCTGGGGGCTGGCCAGGGATTTTTAGTCATGGGCTGGGGGTTGGGCGGCGCACCTCCCCGCGTCCCGCCTGCTCCCCGTTCATGAAGGAGGACATGGTGGCCTTCGGAGCTGGGCAATCGCTGAAAATCACCCTGGCCCATTTTTCAAGGGCCAAAAGGAGGATCGAAGCATAGCATGAACCTTCGATTCGGAACCCTTTGGTGGACATCAAGGTGGGGATTGAGGTAAAAACCAAATTGAGGCGGCTCCAAGTCTCAAGATTCACAGCCAACGGCCTTTTTTTGGCTCCAATACCAACATTTACCCAACCTTGCTCGTTCTCGAATGAAGGAATGACACCTCCACCCCTTCTATGGCTTCCTTTAACAAATTTAAGAGGAATCCCCTTTCGGCTCATTCCCACAACCACCCGTGGCGATCGCATCCAATGGCCTCCAGGACCCGATTCGCCGAGGTCTGCAGGCGGCTTTCCGCCACGTAGATGAGGTGAGCCAGGCGCTCCGTGAGCCGAGGACTGGTCAGGGGCTCGTCCATCTGCCGCCAGTCTTCCAGCGTCAACTGCCCCTCCTGAACTGAACAAAAACAACATACACCGTGAGCCACAAGGTGTACCAAAACCCGTAAGAAGCAGCCTGAAGATCATCTAGAACTTATCCTGACAGTGTAGCAGTCGCCGGTAGCAAGTATGCGGCATCATGTGTGCTACATCTACATATCAACTGGTCACAGTATCGCCGAGCATCCAAAAGTGGCAAGGCCTCATGGTACTGCCAGCTCTGCCAGCGCAGGAACAGGGTATCCAAGCCTTGGCTGCCAAGCGGCCATATGCCCAGCATACTTTGTCCGTTCATTTTGAGTGGGACACTAACTGGACGAGAAGGGGGTTGGGGAGCTCCAAGCCGGCTACCATAGACTCGCCTGGCGAGTCTAGGTGCAAAAACCGCATGTACCCCTTGTCGCGTTTCTTTTTTGCACAGCTTCTTTCCCCGCACTCTGCCGCTCCCTCTGTCTCTGTCTCTCTCTGTCTGTCTGTCTCTCTCGGGGAGTCTCCGCGCGTCTCGAAGGCCGGGGGGCAGTCCAAATTCAGCTGGCGCCAGAAGAAGTCCGTGACCTCCGAGGGGCTCTGCGCCAGCGAGGCCTCCTTCTTGCCCTCCAGGGCGTCCAGCAGCGCCTCACCCGGGGGGGGGCGGGACATTTGGCCGGACGCCAAACGCTTGTTCTGAGGTGGAAGGTTGTACCTCGACCCGTTTTGGGGTTGTTTTTGTTGGAAACTGACAGGAACACTGCAAGTTTGGGGCCCAACTCCCTTTGACACATACCCAAGTAGGGCTTTGTGGGTGCCCCGGCTGCAAAAGTTGAAGCATAAAGATCCAACCAAGTAACGCGCAAGATGGATATAACTTCTTGGAGGGATTTTAAACTTCTGGCTGGATTTTAGAAATTGCAGGAAACCAATCAGTTTGGGAGGGGCCCGCATTATATCCACAGAACCCCCAGTGGTCATGGGTGAAAAGGGCGCTTTTTTTGGGCGGTCGAGTAATGGAAACTCCTTGTAAGAAAGATTTACCACTGGGTGTCTGGGTATAACCCCTGGATAAACTGACCGCCCCCAGGTGTCCTGGCCAAAGGTGATGCTTGAAACCTGGCTACATAGGGGCGATGCAAGGATTCAAGAGACAACAGTGTTTCACCAAGCATTGAACGACTCAAGGACCTTTCTAAAAGTTGCAGGCATTTGGAAAATCCAATAACTAAAGAAAGCAACCACATTTTGAGCCCCCATTAGTTCTCTATTTGAAGGCTACGCGAGTGTTCTCCTTTCGAGCCTCCGCTAGTCTCAAGAGGTCCTGGTTCAGAGCTCTGCGCTCCAGGCCCCGGAGGAGCTCCGGATCTCGGCGCTGATCCTGCGCCAGCCAGGCCAGCATCGAGGCATTGCGCTGGTAGGCCAGGGCCAAGTCCACGACATCCTGCGCCCTTTGGACCCCAGGTGGGTTGCTACTTTGGCCTGCGAGCAAACTTGTTGCAACCGGTTTCTTTGGGGTCATACATGTTTCCAACATCAAAACCCAAACTGTTGGGGTCACCAAATTCTTCCAACATGGTCTCAAAACCAGGCCATCCATACTGCAGAGGATTTTGGTGGTGGACGTGTCCATCGTCTCAAAAGGCCAGACCCCGTCCTGCAGAGGATTCCCGGTGTCCAAGATCTCCTCCAGTCCTGCAGGCATGGAGATGGATTCGGGCCCCACATTCACCGGCAGCGGCTCGGAGCTCGAGTCCAGGAGCTCCTGGGAGGCTCGGACCCCGGAAGTATCAAAAGGCTCAGCTTTTTAGTTTGCCATGGCTAAAAGTTGACAAGGGGGAAACCCAAAAGTGAAAAGGTCGGCTTTGGGCGGGCGAAGGTGAAAGGTCGGCTTTGGGCGAGCGAGCCTTCTCTTCTTCCTCCTCGACTTGTTGCGAGATGGCGAAATCCCCCAAGCCCGGCACCGGCGCGTCCAAGGAAGAGGCGGGCGGCAAGTCCAAGACGCCAGGGCGGATGGACAGCCGATGTGCAGCGACCTCATTGAGGTTCCACAGGGGCATATCGTTCACTGCTGAAGGGATTCGAAACTCGATCTCTTCCCAGCCAGCCGCATGCCAGCCGTCCCGCATGGTCAAATAAAGAGGGACTTCACGCTGCTGTGGATCTGCCTGCAAGTGATCCGACTTATCCAAGTTCGAGCTGAAGGAAAGCTGAATGGCGCCCAGCAGAATGCATTCAGCCATCATGAATACCAGCTCATCCACCACATCTGTGGATGTGAGGGCAAAGAAAGCCACCCCATTGACAAAGGTCCGGAGGTCCCAGTTGGGCACCACTTCGTTGAATACCTCTGCCCCAGCTTTTCTTCCCTTCAACAGCAGAGGCGTGGGCGGTTTCTGCGAGGGCACCTCGGTGCGGCAGAGGTCCACGGCCTGCAAGCTCACGGGCCGCCCAAAGCGGATGCGGCCCACGGAGCCCTGCAGCTTCGCCACGAAGCGGCCCTTCTTCACCACGTCGTTCTCGAAGGAGGGGTTCTCCACCAGCTCCCAGGGGCCGTCCCAGCGCACCTGGAAGGGCACCCGCCACTTGGCTCCCGCAAAGTGCCGGGGGAAGTGGACCTGGAAGGGCGACAAGCCCCGGAAGCTCAGCAGCGCCGATCGGCCCGTGCGGCTGGGGGCCGTCTTGGCGCTGCCCGTGCGCGCCGCCTTGAGACTGGCACCCAGGAAATACTCGTCGATCATCTCCCCCCCATTGGAGGAGGAGAGGAGACGCGTAGAGAAAATCCCGTCCGTCACAGCAGACTCGGACACAGACTGCTCACCGCAAAACGGGCCGTCCATGACTGAGTCGCAAGCTGCTGAGGAGGCTTTGTGCACCAAGCTGTCGGCAATGTAAACTCTATCGCGCAAACGCAACACGGCCTCTTCCAGGACCTGTTCAACATTCAGGGCCCCTTGTGTATGCCAAAGCAGGCGTAGAAATAGCGCCAGGCACAGCCAGCCGCTTCCAGGGATGGTTGCATGCATCATCGCAACACAGAATATAGCGTCTCCGGTAGTGTAGCCATGCAGGCAAGTCCCATTCGCTACACCACTGCTTGACGGTTGCTGCCCTAGAGAAACAGGCTCTTTTCAAGAATTGTGTCACGTTTCCGTTGGCTAAATGTGTTGCTGGCTCACTCTGTGCCAAGCTGAATGCAAAGAATAGCTGTATGGCACCTGTGCTGAAAGCATGACTACAAGCTGTGTAGTTTCTCATTTGGATGCCGATTTGCGCACGATGCATGCTATGCAAAGCTCAAAATCCGGGAAACTCGTGAAAATCATGTGCACATGTACGTCGATTAATGGGTTGCAACCGGACATGCTTTGATGACACACGTTCCCAACATCGATGCTGGCAAACAGCATTCAAGGGTTCGACATAGCTGCCGAGGCACGGTTGAACAACTCAAGCTGAGCTATTCTCTTACGGAACTCTCCCTTGTCTCGCGCGTGTATGAGCACACACTGCTTACAACCTGACCACCCAACATGGCAACGAAACATCAGCCGATCCTTATTCAGGCATCGTGAACCATGCTTGCAAAGCAACCCGTAAACTGGGCAACTTGTCCAAACAGGGCTGTTGCTTGGGAGCTTTTCATGGTTGCTTGACAGACCCCCTAGTAGAACTTGTTATGGAAGGGATGTGCTTCCAACGCACGCACACACAAGTGCCTGCAAACGTATGTCTGCAAGCCAATCTCTATGAATCACTGTGATTTGCCAGAATGCAGGCCCCTCCAACACATTCTCCTGGTTTTTCACCTGGGGAAATCGACACCGGTCTCAAGCCCCGCAGGGTCACGCCTCACCCAGCACCAAAGAGTCCAGGCCGGAACTCACCTCAAGCCGGGAATGCGTAGAGGTTCTCACACACCAAGGAATCCCCAAGTAACGCCTTCCCGAGCTTGCTCCCCTACGAGTATCAATATATAACCAAATTTCACAGTACAGAGTGCCTGTGAGACAACGGGCCTCCGCATAGAGGGAAGGACATGAATCATCAAGCTGTTTGCTTGTCACGCATCAAGTATCAGGTTCATGTCTTAGCTGGCACGGGCTTAACTCTGGCACTGCTTTCTTTCGGCAGACCATGACCATAATCAGTTTGCTTGGATTGAACCCCCAACAAAACAAACGGCGTCAGCTCTAGTCTGCATTCTTCATGCAGATTTGTGCTGGTTCAGCTTCGTGCAGTTCAGTGAGAGCTTGGATCAGCTTGGCTAGGGATGGTTTTGGGCTGAATCAGAGCGGGTAGCACTTATCTGTGGGCTTTGGGTCGATCTACCGCGGACGTTTGCCGCGTTTTCGGCTTGTTTGGCAGTAATCGGATTTGGTTGCCAGCTAAGCGTTTGCCTGCTTTTCATTCGCGACAGGTGTGGAACAGCCGTAGAATGGGATTGGAGGGGCACGCCACATGCGGTGCTGCGGTGTGGTCCGCCCGTCTGCAATCTCAGCCTGCCTCGAAGAGATGATTGATGGCGTCGTGGCCAGTAAAGGTGAAGAGGTATGGGTCGAGCTCCTGGCCGTGCTTGGCTTCAAGATCCGAATCTGCTTTTCTGCAACATGCAACAATGCAAATCCTGCATTCCTAGCAGGGAATGAGGGAATGACCCCTAACAAGCCATCCCCTATGGTTTCCTTTCAGGGAATCCCTGCGTTCATTCCCAAGACTCGGAAGGTCATTCCCTACTGAGCACCAACAAGGTTCTCGACCCTGGAGTGCTGTCTCTTGCACAGTCAGCGTTTCATTCAGCGTTTCATTTCTAGGCTGTCCTCTTGGCTGAGGCCGGACTGCTCACGCAGGAAGGCGTGCACGCACTCAATGGCCGAGTACTTCCTGGGTAATTGACATATGCCGGTGACAGGTCTCCCTCATCATTCACGTTGAATCAGTAATATCATACATATCATTCGTATTAACCTTCTCATGGCCTTTACAAAGGCAACTTCTCTTCCCCTGCTTAGCTGCTCGGGTTTGACTCCCCTTCACTGCCATTGCACAGGATGCAGCGCAGCAAAGGTGAACAATTCTTCAAGGTTGCCAACTATTTGGGGGGAAGTCTCAAAGAATGCATCAGGCAACCTTCGCAAACGCATTCCTTCTTTTCCAGCACGCTCGACTGCAGTGTTTTGGAAAATGGTAACCCCAGCAGTCTGTATCCGGACAATGAGAGCTGGAATTCCCAGGACTCTCTGGAAAACTCCGACTTCATCGATCTGGCCAAACCCCCAACTAAATCGAGACACAGATCTTATGCTTGCTGGCTGATCAACAAAGTTGCCAAACTCCTGAAAAAGCAGCTTTCGTGTTCGCCTGCCGGAGCTGAACACCTGCCAGAGATCTGCTTCAGTTCATGAAGGATTGATGTTGTTTAAGCATCAACCTCAACAAACATACTGCCGCCCTAATGATTGTTGGATCACTGACCAGGCCGAATCCGCTCATCAAAAAGTCGCCACACGCAAAGCAGCCTTTCGCTCGAGGCAATTTTGTTGGGCGAGCCCGGTGCTTCTTGTTTTAGACGCAGTGCTAAGCCTGTATCCTCAATGTTTTTGTCAACTGGTCAAACAACGTACATGCGAACTTTGACACTCCATCCCGCATCGATTGCTTTCAAGGGGGACACATTTCCTGGTGGTCCACAATGTAAAGGCCGGCATCCAAGCACTACGACTTCCGTGATGAGACTCAACACATGGCGACAGGATCGAGAGCTTACCCATCAGTGCTGTACGGACTACTCGCCTACAGACATTTGCTCATTTGCCGAAAAGGACTGACAACATTCTTACCGTATTCGTCTGTAAAGGCGATGACTCTGCCCACAACTCCCATGCACACCATTATATACATGCGCTCCTCAAACAAAGTGTTTGCAAATTGCTTCAAGCAAAAAGTTGGCCCTTTCCCGTTCACAATCAAGGTGACATAAAGCACGCACTCTCCCAACGAGCAGTCTCCATGCACAAAGGCAGCACAACGTAAACGCGACAGCTGCAACCCAGCGCAGGAAGGCATGGTACCTATCTACATTATTGGTTTCTGGTCTACAAAGAACACAGTTACTGTCATCTTTAAGACACAACATCTAATCGGGTTGCAGCCGATGCATACCACTCTGCGGGAGATCAGGCTGTCCGAGGGCGATTTGACATGCGGTGGTGGGCACGTGATGGCGCCCACATGCACCCATCACATAGCCCTGAACACCACATTCATGCTACAAGAGTAGTTGATTCCTCGGTATTCAAGGTTCAAAGCCTCAACATGAAATGCATTGATGGCGCACCCACTTTGCACATATATGTGGGCATTGTTTCTGCCAACTACCCGCTGCTGGGGAACCTCTGTGCAAAGGTGAGTATCCTTGACACCAGCATTGTTGTCCGATGACTGATCAAATTGAGACTATGGCCGTTCCTGATTCTCGCTATATTGATTCAATGCCTTGTGCTCTGCCTGACACCTAGCATCCAACAGGCTTTTGTCTTAAGGTGCAACTAGTATGCATCTGGATCAATCTGTCAAACACGCAGTCTGCAATCCTTTCCCCGTGCTCTCACTCACTTTCTCTCTCTGTCTCTCTCTCTCTCTCTCTCTCTCTCTCTCTCTCTCTCTTGCTCTCGCTCTTGCGCTCACAATTGCAATACGCTGGAATCATGCTCCAGCTATATCTCAACCAGGAAACAGTCAATCGTTCCCACCCGAACCTTTGTAATCAGTTGTGCTTCACTTTTTCTCTGTTCGTTACTCTCCCGCCTTTCAACGAGGCCAAAGTGCCTCGTTTACCTGGTCTGCGCGCTTTGCCCATACCTCTCCCTGTGCCAACGTTTGACGTGGGTATCCGTGCTCGAGGGAACTGGATCGGTGGGGATTTGAAGCCCCAGAAAGCTTCGCTAAGAAGCCGAGGTCACAACTCCTAGAGCCCACAGGGCTGAAAAACTTCCATGCTGATCGCTGGTCAGCCGTCAGCTTTTAGGGACCGCAATGATGGAACTGGCGCACTCTTGTTCAGCTTTTGGCTCCCAATTGGCTTCTCAACTTCAGCAAACCACACCTCAAAAGAGCAAACACCATGATTCTGGTCTCTCGTTGCCAGAAGCTTCAAGTGTGCGCTTGGCTTATAAGAGAAAGTTTACAGGAACGCCTCATCAGCCAAGTGCATGAATATCATGCAGAAATTAACAGCGGAAGATCTGCGCAGCATGCACTTCATTGAACTCAGTTAGACACCCTGCAGCGCAAAAGCGCAACAAACACCACAGTGACAAACGTAGCTCAGTTTTTCTTGTCCTAACCAATCGCAAGTGCCGCTGCTTCCATGCTTAAATTCACCGGAGTCTGCCTTCATTACTTCGTTGGAAGTGGCAGCACAAACTCTGGAAAACATCGGCATCAACGCTGCTTTTCAGCCGCCTGACCGCAGGGTTTTTCGCAGAAACATCCGGTGTCCACAACACAAAGGATTACTCTTAGACTGGGAAACGCTCCATATGTGTGACCCACTCCAGCATTTGAGAGGGACTGCCTCATCAACGCACTTGCATGCACTGGGTTGGCACTGTGATTTTCGTCAAAAGGAGCTTTTGCCAGTTGTTACTGTGGCTGTTAATTGGTTGTTTTGCGCAAAACACCCTCTTGAGCCAACGACTGATTGTCCCTTGCTGTTCCCTTGAGGCACTTTAGTGGCATCTTGAACTAGCCGAAAGCTGCCAAGAATATGATAAAGCTAAGGAATTTCAGTCGGGGGATTCGCCTGAGTCTCCTTGCCAATTGGACAATCATCCTGAATTCACGCTCCCCGCAGCAAATCAGGACTTGCCACAGCCGCATGCCTCTGGCAAAATAAATATAATGGCGCAATCAGACTCCGACCTGTCGGACCTTTGAGTCAAGACCCACAGATACCAACCGGCGGAACATCTGGCCACTGGGATTGGCTACCCTGGCCATGGATCCCTCCGGAAACTGAACGCCCCGGCCTCAGCGCTTCGAGTCGTCCTGTGGGACTTGGGGTCTGGGATTCAGCGATCCCTGTTAGTTTGTGCCTTTAGAACTACCTGTCTTGACTGAAACGGCTTTGTGATGGCAAGACTTGGCTGCCAGGAGCCAAAAAACGAAAGCACCAATCAGAGTGGTGGAGCAGTGCAAGCTGCCATCTGGCTTTGTGGTATACTGTGGACAGCAACTCTGCTGAACACTCTTGCTGTTCTGCAAATGCGCGTCAAGATTCTCAGCTGCTTTACATTTTGTTTGTCCCCTCCGTGGTTTCCCTACCCACATTCCAAAATTCCAGGGTTTCTTGTATGGGGAAGGAATGCACGGTTTTTGACCATACATCGCCCCCGAGGTGGGCGGGGGGGGGCGGCAGTCCTCAGACTCGGCCGGCCGGGTGTCTCGCAGCGTGAGCTCCGCAGAATCCTGAGGAGGAGGTCAAGGCCTTCCTTTAGCCCTGCTGTGCCTTTTCGAGGGCTGGTTTTGAGGGAATCAAAGGGAAGCAACTCATCTTAGCGCCCCATTTTTTGCAGGCAAACAACTCATGCCACACACAACCGTTTTCGCCGAACGGAACAAAATAGCATGCGCTGACAATTGCGTACACCATGGCAACCCACATGCCTGCAGGTGGCACTACGCCTCTGCTTTTCATTGAACACATGCCCGCGATAGGCAAGTGCATGAGACTGCTTTCGGAGAATTGGGTGGATCAAAGGAACACGCACACACACACACAAACATATTATAATATATGACTCAAGCTTGCATGTTTGATCACAAGCGCGTTGCCTGGGGAACATTGCGCCTCCACAACCAACTGTGAGCCGTCTGCAACGGGCATGACAGCTCAATCCAATGTTTGCCGATCACACCAACGCCGCAAGTACCCATGTGCAATCAAGGCTCTGAGATGAAAGGAATCCCTTTGGGATAGCGACCCATCAAGCAGCTGATCATGGAGTACCTGAGCAAGCGGAAGTTGCCGCCGAAATCTCACGCCTAGCAAGCGAAGGATATCCAGGTAAGACTCCTTTCTTGTTTGAAACACAACAAACACGTGCCTGTCTATCTTCTGGCTACGTACTTGTCATCTCGGGTGGCCTATTCGAAATCTTGTTCGGCATTTGAGGGGTACATGCCGCATGCTCGCTTACCTGGCATTGTTTGCTATTGCTAAAACTACGAAACAAAGGGAGTTGGCAAGCGACGCTTTTCGACACCTGGAATTTTGTGCATCAGGCATGACACAAGTGATTATAAGCCAACATGCAACCAACATCTTCTTTTCCTGCTGTGCAAAAAGCAGAGCCAATATACACATTAGTGACATATGCGGGCTGCCTTCTTGTGAGGTAAGAAGCTGGCAATCATGAAAAAGCAACATACTGTTATCCACCGTTCGTCTGATAGGCCTGCTTCTCGGGGCAGGTATGCAAACAACCAATGCGTTGCTGAGGAACAAACACACACCCTCCATTCGCATCGCAATGTTGCAGGACCTGGACGGTTTTTGTGCCAGTCACTCCCAAACGGCTTGGAAGTGCTCGGAAATACATGTCGCGCGCTTCTCAAACCGCTACCAAAAGCCAACCCCGTTACAAACAAATGTTTCGAGCGGTGGGCCCCGCACCTGGCTGTGCACGACATTCGGAGCTCCTCAAATCTCAACATCGAACCAGCGCCCAAGCTGGAGGTGGACCGTCAAAACCTCTGCCAAGCGGCATGATGCAAGCAACCATCACCATGAAAACTGCGCCGGAGGCGGCCAGCGATACTCCGGGCAGGTCCATCTGAGGCAAAGCCGGGCGCTTTTTATGGACTTTGCACCTCGTTGCTTT